AGGAAAAGTTATCCTTCTCTTTTGTAGACATTTCTCATCATGGGATTTTTTCCTGATTGTGAGATGTAGATCCACAATACATCGTATCCTTTAGTTTATTAACGCTGCCTGTAATGTATACAACATGATTCATTGGGAACTATGTGATTTCTTCCTCAAACCATAGACGAAAACGTACTTTTCCTTAAGCAGGATATACAAAGGGCACAGTTAGTGAACATTTAATTCAGGTGTAGCAGTCGGTAGGTGTCAAAATTATTCGGCAATTTGGAAAAAAATTTAAAACCGAAAGATACTCTGTCTTCAAGTACTGAATTTTAAGAAAGCGTAATTTGCGTAAACGAATACCAGAAATAATTTTTTTCGTGCACGTTTTCTATAAAATATATTTGGATTTATAAAAACAGTCAAAACCAATGATAAAATGCATACCAATTAAGTAGCCATGTTTTATAGTCCATACCTTTTGTATTGGTCAGAAAGAAGCTTTTTAAGAAGCCGTCATCCTATCGTGACTGAAATGACTTGATAATAGCTTACACGATAATCAGTATTACAACCTAACTCAATGCCGCCTGGCGAGTGCGTATCAATATTTGCCAAATGTCGGCATGCTGCACGAATTCTGAGCCGTACTGTACATATCAATCTTAAGATGCTACCTAAAGCTCTCAGTTGATAAACGCAAAGAAACAAAAATATAGGTGGATTTGAGACACTATCGTGTATCAAGCTTAGAATAAACTGTTTAGTGAATGATGAAAGAAACGGTTACGCGATGAAACCTTAAAAATTCCGCAAAATCACCCGCGAGAGGAAAGCTCGATGAATGACCTCCTGTTTAAGTGATTCCGTAAGCTGTTTGCACACCGAACCAGCAAGTGTGTGTACTAAAGTCTGGTCTCCTTCACAGGTTTATTGCGCAGACTGGTAACAATGGAGTTGGTTTCCTACGCTAAATATCCCTTGCCCCCTAGTCCTGTGGTTTCTTTTAGTTTCATTAGTTCTAATTTTGTTTAGTTTTTAGTTTAGTTTGATACCGCCATCTACTACTATATGCTAAACTATGCTAACTAAACTCAAACTAAAATTAAATTGATGAACTAAATAATAAACTAAAAACTATATTAATACCATCCGTCCTGTAAGTCAGAATTCTCGGGCAAGAGGTAACTAAGGTGGTCGACGAACTTTAGCGTTGTCTACAGTCTTACCTCCTGCCAAACGGACAGCGTGGTAGATGAGTGGGACTAATAAGGGAGCCAGATCAGGGCATGGCAGGCGTTATTCTGGTTGTGCTCCCGTAGCGAATGCCGAACATGAGGGGGAGGTGGCGTTCGCTCAACGCCTAGCTGCAGATACGGACACCGGCCACCAGTAGCCTTTATGGCACTCCCACGTCGTAGTAGCTAAGTCAGGCCCGGCGGCTCCTGTCGTTTATAACCGGCGTTCGACCCTACCCTCGATATTATTGCCTCTGACTGCTGCCTGCTGCCCCCATTCTCTTGTTGTTTTAAATTCCTGGAAAGGTGTAGACCGTGACCAAATGGTGTTTGACACGGAGGCCCTATACATCCTGAAAGGGTAGCATGATAGATGCGGTGGACTAACACGGGAGCCAGATCAGGGCATGACAGCCGTTATTCGGGTTGCACTCCCATACCAAATGCCGAAAATGAGGGGGAGGGTACGTTCGCGCCACGCCTAAGTGCAGATACGGACGCCAGCTACCCGTAGCCTTTATGGCACTCCCACT